TTTAATGAAATTTGAAATGACAAAAAAAAATATTCAGTCAATAATTTAAATAAAAAAAAATTTATAAAAGAAAAGTAAAATATATTCAAATGCGATATTTTAATTAATAAGAAAAATATTATTTCTGAATATCGAGCCTCCGTGGCGCAATCGGCTAGCGCGTTCGGCTGTTAACCGAAAGGTTGGTGGTTCGAGCCCACCCGGGGGCGAGCTTTTTTTTTCTGCTTTTTACTGAGAGAGCTTGCATTAATCTTCATTGTCCATTCTTGTGTTGCTTTAAAAGAACTACTTTTTTTCCGCTAATCACAAATATTTTTAATTTTTTTTTTGCTGGGAATTTTAAATATTATCAATGGCAGCACGTTTTAAGTATTCGTTAGAATGATATTGTAATTTTTTATCTTTTAAGTCCATCAGATCAGTTTTTCTCAGTGTCCGAAAAAAATTAGCCTAACTTTTAAACTTTGTATTCAGCAAAGATTTTGATATGTATAATTACAATAGTAAAAATTCATCTATTTCACATTTTTAATTTTGATGTTAATTCACATTTTGCCTGACTTATAAAAATAAGTCGGCTTTTTCAAGGAAAAGAAAGTTTTCATAACTTCTTTTAAAATAATTTTCCGATTACAATATGGAAATCTAATATAGAAAATTAAAATAATTAGTAAAAATTGCTTGTTGAATATTACTGAATTAGGCAAATATTTTAGTGATCATCATACATACTTTAATCAGCTGTAAATAGTTAGCTTTTTATAAAAGTACTCCTAACTACAGATGCTTCTAAAATCTTAAAGGTTTGTTTAATAAATAATGGAAATCACTTCAATTTATTCACCTTTTTTAAAGAGTGTAAATTTTATTAAGCTTTGTTATTTTTTTTAATATTTTTAAAATAGAGTTTGTAACAAGTATTTAATGTTTATTAAATTAAAGTTTTTGGAATAAAAACCTTTGCAATATTTTATTTAAAAAAAGCAATGGACTCAAAATTAATGAATGCCTTCCGTAAGATTAGCTAAATTGAATTGATTTATAAAAGTATTCTATTTCATATTTTTGTTAATCGCAATTTACTGAAAGAGACTATTTCGACTGACTTTCACAATACTGTCTGAATCGACTGATTTTTCAATTTTTGTATACTTTGTCATTTATTTTTTAAGGCTGTTTCCCGAAGGCTCAGTCATTATATGAAATAATATTCTTTTGCAAATAATATGCTATTTTTATAACTGTTGTGAGTTTTCAACTGTTACTCATGACTGTTAGGTCAAGTTTAGCCTATCTAAAAACAGCGCTGCCTATTTGAAAACGGCGCCTTGCGTATTTCGCTATCTTTTAAGTACTTTATAAACGTTTAAGCTAATTGAAAATTGAAAAACTTTAGCACACAATTATAAAATCGTTATCGTTTATTCAAAGATCATTCTATACAAAACAGAACTTTTAGTAACTATTTATGATTTTTTATTACATTATTTAAGAGTGGTCGAAGCAATTTTAAATTGTTAAGGTATAAAATTTTTGCTTCATTTTAAAGAATGTAATTTTACATGGCAAAAATACAAAATTTGAGCGAAATCGGTCGAATAGCTCCTGAGAAACTGAATTTCAAACAAGTCGTATACTTAAAATTCGATTTACCTGGAACCATTCGACCGATTTTGACTTGTAAAATTACATTCTTTAAAATGGTACAAAAATTGTATAACTTACATTTGAAAATGTTTTCGCCAATTATTAAATAAAATAATAAAGAATAATAAATATTTACTAAAAATTATTTTTTACACGGAATTATCTTTGGGTAAACGAATTTAATAATTATGGGCAAAATTTTTTTCAATTCGCTTAAAAAGTTATTGAGTTATAGCAAAATACGCAAAAAGTAAAATTAACATGAAGGGGTCCAAATTTAGGAGCGTTTTCCTGACCAAACTATCTTTCCCAGATTGCGGCTACCCCCTATATTTTGGGGGCCAGAAATTCGAATCCGTCGATAAAATTGTATATTTATTCAGAGAAAGTACATTTTTGTGTCTGATTTCGAAACTTAAAATATCGTCTGCATTTATTAATTATCGTATTTGAGATCATCCCCTCAAACCATTAAGATTGAGTTCTAGTACGTGAAAACCCGATCATTAAATCAAAAGTTATTCAGGGGGTTATGTTTTTGCGCACTGTACAATACTTAACTACTTTTCATAAATGCTGACTGCAGAAATGCATTGGTATAATTTAATCGGTAGAAATATTAAAGAATCTAAAGTACCGCGTGTTTTTGTCTCAAATGGTAATTATTATTATAAAGGTTTTTAAAAGTAAATTTACACGTAGCCAAAAGTTGGTAAAATACATCATATACCTTAGATCCAAGTTCATTTATGTGTTTACTTGGTACTTTTTTAATTTACGTCGCACAAGCTGAATATGGTTCAGAGACAGCATATATACGTCACATCCCATTTTACAGGGAGGACACATTCATATACTATCTATCCATCCACAAATCATAATTTTGACCTGAACGATCAATTTCCGATCCAGTACCTCCAGAGGTTTTGATTTGTTATGGGAACTTGGAGGACTTATTGACCCCGATAGATTGAGCGTTTTTGGTAGGGCATTGGGCTTGCACCCAAGAAGTCGTGAGTTCGATCCACGACTGACTCTCCGTTTAGTAAACGGCGACTGGGTCACGAAATCCTCCATAATCTCATATCAAATTATACCTCTGGGGTTACTAAATTGGATTTATTGTTCTCTGTTTCATTTCAAAATTACGGTTTGTGAATAAATGGATGTAAGAATGGGCCCACCCTATAAACAGGCTGTGACGTGTGTGTGGTTGAAGTCGTATTCGTGGCCATAGATGGTGCCACTGAAGAACAAGAAACGCACCCTCTGCCTTTAATTCACTTGGCTTCACCCCGCAGGCTTGCTGTCATTGGCAAGTGACATTAGAAACAACAACAACAAATAATTTTGTGTAAATATGAAAGTGGTAATAATAATACAAGCTTTGTTGATTTTATTTTAATGCTATTTAAACGTAAAAAATAATTTTCCCAATTCTTTTTTTTTTCTCCCTTGAAAATTTTATTATTAAAATAATCCACTGTGTGTGTTAATATCAGAAACCAAAAAAGACTAAAAGTTTTCGCTTTTTCTGTTTTAACTATCAATTACGCACAGTGAAATTGGCATAACTACCAAGAATAAAGAGCTGTATGATGAATGGATTGATAAAAGATGGCGTCTTTCTTATTTGCAGGAAGAGAGTCTTCTCAGGAAATAAAATGTTTTGATTCTTGGGTGGTTGTTGACTGGGCAAATCACCGGATGTAATGATCATTTATCTCTGCCATGCCGAGGATGATGATACATTGCTTTTGTTTACATTACTGTATACTGCTGCTTTGTATTTCAGATAATTGTTATTATTTGATAGGGCAAAGAGAAGTTCAGACGTATTATTATTATTTTTTTAATCGTTTCTATTCTGTGCATCATGAAATCTTACCCATTTCAAGGTATGGGGGAATAATGGTTTTGATTCATTTCAAAATCGAAACAAATTTTATATTCCCAATCGTATATGATAACAAAAACAAAACAAATAATAAACGGAACTAAATAGATTAGTTTGTATTAACCAAAACAATGAAGTTTTACCCTGAAATATATATTTTTTAAAATTATAAATAAATATAATCATAAATAATAAAATAAAATTATAAATAATTAAGTTAAAATTTCAAAAGATTTTTCGCGCTGAAGATTTCTAATTATTATTCAGTGAACTAGCTAAATATCAAAAGTCTTCGCCAAACGCAATCGAATAAAAAATACGGATTTGTTTAGAAAAGTTCATTTTGACGTAATTTTGAGTATCGAGTTAAATATATGTATTACTTTCGAGTGGAAAAAATACTTCGCCAATACTTTCACCAAAACTCAATTTTATTCGCCAAATTTACGATTTTATCGCATTTGGCGGTGTGGCGTATGCTTAGTGCTGCCCCTAATAAAATAATGAATTTAACACAAAAAATGTATTCGACTCCAAGCTCCAACTCTGGTCTGTTAATTTTTTAACGCAGATGAGACACCGGTGCCCCTTTTATGTAAATATTTTCTTCTGATTCTTTAATTACAAGCAAAAGCATATATTTTGGTATTTTTTAATTATAAAGACAGTCTCACAGTTACTAAAAAGTATGTTAGATTATCGGAATTATATTTGTACAATAATAATATAAAATACAAAAAAAGTTGTTTATTTATTTATTTTTTCATTTACATTCAAAAATGTATCAATAATTGATTTTGTAAATTAAGAGAAATTTCAATAGTAAATAACTATTTCTCTTAGATTTAAATAATTGCAAATAACAAACTTTTTAAAAAATTTTCTTTGAAAGTGATGTGTTTTAGGATAATTTTAAAGGATTTTTTTCTTTCTCTTTTTAATACAAATGGTAAATTCAAAAACAAGAAATATTGGTTTTAAACAAACATTAAAAAAAATTTCCTATGATTTTTGAATAAATTTATTAACAATTAAATACAACAGTAACACGTACGAGCAGTTTCACAGGTCATTAGTATCGTACCGTGTACAAAATGAGAAACGGACCACCCTGAATAACTTTTGATCTAATCAGTGCAGACGATATTTTAAGTTAAATCAGACACAGGAACATACTTTCTCTGAATAACCTGAACTTGTTTTTAGACGGATCAGGATTTCTGACACTTACAGTGAAATATGATCCCAATATTTTGGTCAGAAGAGCGCTCTAAAGTTTGTTCCCCCTTATTGTTAATTTTACTTTTTGCGTATTTCGCTATATCTCGAGAACTTATTAAGATAGTCGAAAAATTTTTGCAGACAATTATAAAATTCGTTTATCAAAAACTAAATTCATGCAAAAAATAACTTTTACTAAATATTTATTATTTATTTATAAATGGTGGAAAAAATTTTGAATTGTTAGATATAAAATTTTTCATATCATTTTAAAAAACCAAGAAGACAAAATACAAAATTTCAGCAAAATCACTTGAAAAGTTCCGAGAAATTGGAATTTAAAAAAAGTCAGATCTTTAAAATAAGATCTTTAAAGATTCGATCCAGGATTGCGGCTACCCCTTATATTTTGGGGATCACAAATCGGAATACATAAGAAAATAGGTTCTGTTTATTCAGAGAAATTATATTTTTCTGCCTTATTTCGAAACTTGAAATATCGTCTGCACTAATTAATTAGTATATTTGAGGTCACACCCCTCGAGCCATTAAGATTTAGTCCTAGAACATGAAAATCCGATCACTAGATCTAAAGTTATTCAGGGTGGTCGGTTTCTTTTCTTTTTTTTTTCTTTTTTGCACACTATCCAATTAGTTTATCTCTGATATTCAATTAGTTGCTTTTTGTTCTTTTGCTGGATGTGGAATACAATTGTGAGGATTTCACAGTTCTTGTTGGACAACATTTATACCAAATCCATTGCATGAGGAAAATAGATAATTCTATAACAGAGATGATGCTAGCTCCTAGAAACAAACCGAGTGATCCTCCGATTTGACCTGGAAAAAATAATGAATTGAAATATTATATACTAATGTTGTATTAACTCTGTGCAGTCGGAAAAAATGAGTAAAACTCACTCTGAAAAATTAAAGAAATTGTAAAATTTTCTCAAACAATGTATTTTTAAATGACAAAAAAAAAGAAGAGAATTTTGAATAACAATTTCTATGAACTATATAATCGATTTCTTTGAAATTTCTTGTTGCTCCTCTTTGCTCAAAGAGTGCAAAATGGCGAATTATATATACTTTATAGCTGTTTATACCTGTTTGCATCTAAGTGCACGCCAAATGAATGCCAAGTGAACGTATATCAACATCGCCAACAATTAAAATAACGCTACACAGCCTTCTTCATGCTTTCTTAAATCGTATGAAATGAGGAAATCAAAACTTATTGAATTAACGAGTAAAAAAAAATTTATAAAAATTCTATTTGAAATCCTAACAAATATACGTCTTACTATTCGCATTTAAAGAAACTGATAAAAGGATAATTAATATTGTTACTGGCAGACGATTTTCTTCTACAGCAAAAAAATAAAAATTCTTTATCATTTTTTGTAGCATATCATTCCTTATAAAAATTCTTAATAGCATTTGATTTGCAAGAAACATCTTCGCATAAGAGGCTCCATTTTAGTGGTCTAATCAAATAACCATTTTTAATCTTACCATTTTTTTTTTTTGAATTGCACACTGTTTATCAACACAATTTTAATAAGTAATACTATTTCTTTGAATAATTTCGTAACTCGTAAAATTATTGTTAATCACAAGTATTTATATGTTTTATTAAAAGCGATTAAGTTATATTTTCTTTTCTGAGTTGCATTCTTTAGATTAAGGACAGGAAGACTGTTTTCTTTTCATAATTTTGTTACTCGCAAAACTACATTATTGTTATTCACAGATGTATCACAATTTCGATAAAATCAAATAAACTATTTACTGTTTGAAATTTTGATTCAATTGCTATGAAAGTGTAACAGTCTAAATAATGTTTTTTCTCTTGTAAAGCTGATTTTTGAAGATTTGTTTAGCATTTTTTTCTAAGTTTCAATTCTTTCTAAAATAACTTTAATCAAAGATCTTTTATTTTATACTATTGAATACAACTATTTTATACTTAAATACGAAAGCAGTTATAAACTTGTAAATACGTTCTAGGTATTACTAAGTATTTTGAATTTTTTGAAATTTTTTTTCTGTTCATAAATTTGAATAGAATTCTAAAATAGAGCTAAATTAAATTATAAACAAGAGATGGCGCCACGATACATATTTCATTAGATTTAGGATAGGATTTCTTCTTTCCTGGACGATGTCTAGATCTTTCTTAGGTACTTTGTTAGTTTAAAAGTTCGTTAGACGTTTATTAAAATGTGCGTTAGTTAATCACGACTAATTAATTTAAAACAGTTAAAATTTTTCTAAAAAATATGACTCAAAGTTATGGGTATCAGTATGGAAGGCTCAAAATACTTTAATTGTACAATTTTTAGAACTCATATATTCTTTGTAAACCTTTTTCTTTCCAATTAATTTTCCCAGAGGACGCCACTAAAAGTTCCGATGAAATGTAGAAGTTTTTTTTTTTAATACACGTCTATGGCTTCTCCAAAATTACATAAAACATAGTTTACGAATTAATTAAAGAAAAACGGAACAAACGGATGCATAGTATACTTGAAAATTTAAATTTTCAGTTAGTTGCCAGTGTCTGGCAGACTCTAACAACTTGGTATTCACTTTTACATCAGACTTAACAAACTAATTATGCATCAAAGTTGCCAGGTACATAGAACAAAAATATATCGCGGTTACTATAAAATACATAAACAAATAATAAATATCAGTTAAGTAAAAGAAGTAGATGAGAAAGAATTATATTTCAACTCATTCGATGTGCGATACGGCTATGTATTTAATTAACTTCAAGTTAATTAACATTCTAACTTATGTAGAAAAACTTAGCTCAACTTTAATGTGCCATTTTGCTGAAAAATATTTGTTGGCACTAACGTCATAGGTCACATGTGTGGGTACGGGGGTTCTTCTTCTTTTTGAAGTGCAAGTACTCAATTGAGAATAAAAGAAAATCTTAACCTGAATGTTATCAATTTTTTCAAAAATGTCTTTAGGGATAACCATCGAGGTGTACAAATATGAATTCGATACTTACTGAAAATGCTGGAAAATGTCGTCCTCCTGTGCTCGTGATAAGTATACTGCTTCGAATCGTGCATTATTTCAACTCGGCTGCAGAAGAAGAACATTTTTATGTTAAAGCAATGGCTTTCATTGCAACAATTTACGAACTTTGTTACAGAAAAATACAAAACGAAGATTAATTTAATGATAACAAGCTAGGGTTTGTAAAATAGGCAATTAGCATATATTAAACGACAAAGGTTTTACCCTAGCAACAATATTTACCTTAGCAACGTTGAAGTTGAACAATTTATGCGTTATACTCTGTCGTAAGTTAAGGAAAACACAATGAGGGAAGAATTGTCCATTTCACCCGATGTTTTGCAGCCACTTTTAAACAATATCGGCCTTTTATAGAACTGTTAGATTTACCTAAATACTACTTTATATCCATTATCGGCTCTACATAGAATTGCCCATTTCACACGGTGTTTTACAACCACTTTTCAACCAATATCGGCGCCCTATATAGAACTGCTATTGCTCAATTTTAAAATCCATTCTAGGACCAATATCTAGACATTCCACTATTGACCAACAGGTGCAAGTACTTATCAAACCGTTATATAGAAAATTTTGTGCCCAACTAGGGCCAAAGTAAAATTGTTGTCAAGGTATTCGGATGATTTGTGAAATATTTATTAGTATTTCGTGCATGGTGCTAAATTTACGTGAGCTCATTCCCCCNCTCATTCCCCCCCCCCCCATACTTTAAAATTTCCAATAGAGATATTCTTCTCTGATCTGTATCATATGGGCAAACGCCGTTTTGCTGAAAATTTGTCACCATTGTGCAATTTTTTTACTATTACAAAAATGAAAAAAAAAATTAATTTTTGCGCGATTCAAAATTGCATTCACATGATTTAAAATCACGAAATTTATATTTACGTGATTTTAGATAGCATATCGTGTTTTGTGTTTTTTCGATTTTACATCGAATATCGCGTTTCGTATTCACGCGATTAAAAAGCTACTATTATGATTTTGTTCAAGTGACTTAATAAATTATACATTGGAATTTATATTCACGCGATTTTGTAATTAAACATCGAGATTCCTATTCATGCGATTTTAAAATCAAACATGAAGATTCCTATTCACGCGATTTTAAAATTAAACACCGAGATTCGTATTTACGCGATTTTTTAAATGAAATGTCGAAATTCGTATTCGCGTGATTTGACCATATTGAATTTCTTATTCACACAATTCCAACAAATAAAAAAATTCCGCAACGATAATTTTTATTAAAACGTCCATAACATTCTGTGGATAAATGGTTCCAGCATACACTTTTTCTTGCTCAAATTTCAAGTATTATTTTCAATAATTTAGAAGTGTTTTTGCCATAACGTTTTTGGATTTCCATTTTCAGCTTTTTTGGTTTTTTTCTGAACTCAGTGGAATGAATCGAAACAGAGTTCTATAAAAATTAAACATTTTTACAAAAATTCAAACAAATTTCACCAAAATGAGGTGGCAATTAAAGGTTTGAAACTGAACAAGAGTTCATACGTGCAGAAATTTTTTTTAAAATTTTGTGTTCAGAAAGTTTTTTATTTTATCAAAGTCTGGATATAGCGTCTTTTTGAGGTGTATAATGGGCGGTAAACTAAAATTAAATTTCAGCTGCTATATTAAAAAAGACGAATTAGTTATGATTTTCGAATTCGCGTTACGATAACATTGCCTCTAGGTAACAGAAAACGGGACTTATGTATCGAACGTTATTATAGAAGGGTCGCCGTAATTTATGTCGTACTAAAGAACGTAGACTGTATATATTAAATTACGACAAATTCCCAAAAGAAAAACTTCCAAACTTACCTGTGATTTGTGTATCCTAAGCCCATGTATGACGTTTTACTAACGAAACTGTATTCGATACAGGGCAACTTACACCAACTCGTATAATTCTTTACTAAATGAAAAATAATATATAGTTAGCACTCTTAATAACTTTTGATCTCATGGCTGGAATTTTACTTATTAAATTGATGATTTATTTGTTATCCTTATAAAACTACCCTGTTAGGTTATAAGAGCCCAGAATTCATCCTGTTAGATTACAAGAGCCCGGAATTCACCCTAAGGTTAATAGAGCCCGGAATTCATCCTAAGGTTACAAGAGCCTGGAATTCATTTTATAAGAGCTCAGAATTCATCCTATTAGGTTACAAGAATTCATTTTAGATTACAAGAGCCTGGTTCCGAATACTTGCTCCCACAAAAGAACCATAATTTAGGTTAGGGAGCAAATACTGGTAACAATTACTCATTCACATTCTCAATGCGCTTATTACCGTAAAAAACTTAACGCTTACTTAAACTTGAAACTTAACTTCCGAATTCATACTATAAAAATAAGGAAATGAACTTCCTTTGCTTACGATAAGCATTGGATGGAAATTCCAATTTTATTTCCAATTACGATTGCTGAAGGTAAAAATTAAATATTGTTTCCAAATTCGATTACAATTGCAGAAGGATTGAAATTCAAATTATGTTTCCAATTACAATTTTTGAAGGTAAAAATTAAACTTTGATTACAATTGCAAGTGAATGGAAACACAATTTTTTTTATAATAACGATTACAATTTCATGAAATGATAATTTCTCTCCATCAACAGAATCCGAACTTGGTTTAGCTGTGTATCATTTTAGTTATCATTAATTGATTAAGACTAAAAGGGAAACGGTTTGTTGACTGTAAACATTACAGTTCGAGTATTTATTGCTGATAACAAAATTAAAAATTTATAATGGAACTTACCATTTACAAGAATTTCCTGCATAAAGCAATAATACATATCTTCAGGATCGCACGATCGTTTTGATGCATTACCTATTCACAAAGGAGGAGGTATTTAATCAACATCCACACTTCCATTTAAAATGAGCATTTATTTAATTTAAATATAGTCTTATTTTTATAACATCCCATCAAACAAGATAAAATTCCATTCTATGTCGCTAAGCAACCAAATTCGGTCATTCACAGTAGCATGGATATGTAACATAAAATGCCTCTAACAAGTTTTTTTATATTAGGTCAGAGTTTAAAATATCTCTTATTAATTCCGAACCACAGATACTATTTTACTTTCCCTAAAAGGTTCATATATAATCAATATTCCAATTAGAAGACTATTTTAAAGTTAATGGGCAATCATTTTCCGAAGCATTTTTCATTAAAGTGATCTATCGCCATTTAGCAAGCCAAACTAGATAGTTAAAATATCCCTGTTAGTTAAGTAAAGATTCTTGCAACCAATCAATGGTTACGGGGATCGCCCCAACGATGTGACCCGGGTTCGAATCTCAATGATGACGGAATTCCTTTGTATTCTGGATCGGGTTCAAAATGACAAGACTACGGAGTTGAACATCAGTAGTTGTAAACCCATAAAACTGGGTCGGCTGTTCATTGACAGTTATAAAATAAAATAAACTGCAAAGCTAAGAAGCAAAAATAATTTTTTTTTGAGGATTTTTCATATTCTCTGTAAGCATAATGCATGACCAGTCACTAATTCGCTCTTTGGGGCAAACCCTATCTATGTTTCCAATAAAAATTTGTGATGAAATAGTCAATCAGTTACGAATTACATTTAGCAATGCTGGTAGCCTGCTGAATTATTTTACGGTGTGTGTCTCACTGAACTGAACCCAACTTTATTTTCTGCCATAAATAGACGCTAAGGAAACAATGAGAACCAAACACATATATTTTACAAAAGTCTATGTATAAACACATTAAGAAAATAAGAGAAACTTTTCCAATCGATAAGAAGTTGGAAGCTCATAAATGGTGAGTGAAGGCTTTGGCTGTGGTGGTAAACTGAATGCTGTTTTTTGAAGATCTTTCTCCAAGGAAAATAAAAAAACCATTTTTTTAAGTGCCTTACACTTGAAGCACTGCGATGATTTTAAATTATATGTATAATCTTGCCGTGAAGAATTATCTGGGCTTTATAAAAGAAAAATAGCTTAAATATTTTAAAAGTTACTAAACGTTTAAAAAATCGCCTATTAGGAGACATTTTTCCACCTAGATTAAAATAATCAAAATCACTGTCTTATTTCTCAGTTTTTGAGAAAATTTTTATGAGCCCAGATAATGCAGCATTGGAGTAAGTTATTAAATATTAAAAAATTTGACTAAAAACGCTTTTCATTTTCACAAAACTGTGACTTTTCTCTATATTGACGTTTTGCGCTATTTTCAAAATAAGCGTCTGTTCAATCTGTGGTAGAGAGCCGTGCTGGCTCAAGGGAGCGCCTTCTAATGAGTTGCACCAGGTTCGAATTTTAACGATGACTGGTCGATACGAATCCGCATCCAGTTTGCACCGACCACAGTGCTGACGTCGCGTATAACTCGGTAAATATTAGCCCTATTGCTTTGAAACTCGAATTTTCCAGAACTACCATTCAGTCGCCAAACTTTGTCTTCCATAAAAAAATACATTAGGGCTTATATTTTCCTTATAAATTACGGGAGAAATCCCGCGACTTTCTAGCAAATTTTGCAAGTAAACTTTTTATTTAGGGTCCGCATGAGATATTGGGTAACGAGACAAAAGACTATTTACAAAATTATACACATATTTTCAAATCCATTACAGTAATTTATTTATTTTAATACCGTCGTTGAACAGCCGACCCAATTCTGAGTTTATGACTACCAATGTTCAACTCTGTAGACTTTGAACCCAATCCTGAAGACAAGGAAACTTTTGGATCAAATATTGGGAGAAATTTGCCTTCGTGGAGGACTTTTCGATGGAAACAAAACGTTTTTGCGAGTGATGGCAAGGGGACTCTAATTCACGATCCATCTACCTCTGAGGGTATTTTACGCCAGCACTGCAGTCGGAGCGACCCGGGTGCAGAATTCGTGTCAAACAGCCATCACTGGGATTCGATCCCGGATACCTTCCTTGGGATGCAAACGCTCAATCCCATTGTTCTCGTTACATTATTGACGTAATAGTCCTCCTGGGATTGGTAGATGGTATGCAGCATCAAATATTTTAAGTCATATAAAAAATAGGGTAGATATTTCGGCTGTTATAAGACGCGGTTTTATTTCAACAGGACACTTATTTTTCCCACTTATTTGATTGCACATATTTGATGTTTTTTAGTGAGTTATTCCTCTTAAAAATTTGGTTACATATAAAGTTTCTTAATATGTACGTTTAACTTCTTTGCGTCCGATTATGGCACAGTTAAGGTGACGTAACCTCAGTGAACACTGTATGTGCTGTTGTTGTCGTTAATTTACGTCGCACTAGAGCTTCACAATGGGCTATTGGCGACGGTCTGGGAAACATCCCGGAGGATGATCCGAAGACATGCCATCACAATTTTGATTCTCTGCGGATGAGATGGCACCCCCATTTCGGTAGCTCGACGACCTGCCCGCGAAGTCGAGCGCTTTACGGTAGGACAGTTTAACGAGGACCAATAACGCACACCCTCGGTCCCTCGCCGACTGATCCAAGTGTCACCCANTGCGGAGGGGATGGCACCCCCATTTCGGTAGCCCGACGACCTGCCCGCGAAGTCGAACACTTTACGGTAGCACAGTTTAACGAGCACCCATACCACACACCCTCGGTCCCTACGCAGACTGATCCAAGTGGTCACCCACCCGC